GTGGGGCTCAGGAGGTTCGGGAGGGAGTGTGTGGGGCTCAGGAGGTTTGGGGTGTATGTATCCAGTGACAGTACCCGATCAGGATGGGGGTCCGTGAGCTGTAGGTAAATTGCACCCCCCACCACCACCCCCTCCGGGTTCCACACTCACCCTGTGTTACCGTCTCTCCGTCTGTGCCAGCCAGGGGCACTACACCCTTGTCAACCTGTAAACAGGAGGCGAGTGAGTTCATGTCAGTCACACCAGAGCGAGTAACCGATGGTATCCATCGGGAGGTCCATTTCGCAGTCCGCAAACTCAGCACAGAATGAGATAGCAGACATCACAGGGGGTAGCTGTCCCAGCCTTGCTACCCTGTCTGCTCACCCTTCCCAGGAGTGTGACCACACACACTCACTCACTCACAGGCGCGCATGCCCCCTCGCCCTCCCTCTTCCTCTCGCATGCGCCCCCCCTCTCGCACTCCCTCTTACGCGCACACGCCCCCTCAGGCGCGCATGCTCCCTCGCCCACGCACACTGCCCTCTCGCGCACATGTGCCCCCTCTTGCACTCTCCCTTTCACGCGCAGACACTCCCTCTCCCTCCCTCTCGCATGCGCCGCCCTCTTGCACTCCCTCTCACGTGCACACGCCCCCTCTCTCCCTTCACGCGCGCACGCCCCGTCTCCCGCGCGCACGCCCCCCTCGCACTCCCTCACACGCACACACTCGCACACGCCCCCTCTCCCACTCACTCATGCGCACGCGCGCGCCTTCTCACTTAGACACATGCACTCTGTCTCTATCCCCACCCTGACCAGCTCTCACCAATTGCAACATAGGCTGGGACTCTCACGGAACTTGCCAAGCTGGGAGAACATGCCCAGCGAGCCGAGGCAGCTCAGCAAGTAACAACACAGAGACAGACATACAGTCAGTAATTCTCCCTTCCTGCCCTGCCTCCCTCAAATTACATCATAAAAATTCAAAATAGAAAGAAAAGGATTCGCACAATTAAGCCAACTCACAGACAAGATTAAATGATGGTTAATTAAAAAAAAAGAACTCCAGATGCTGGAAATCAGAAACAAAAACACAGTCCTGTGGAAAGGTCACTGGACCCCTGAAACATTAACTCTGCTTTCTCTCTGCATGTGCTGCCAGATCTGCTGAGTTTCTCCAGCAATTTCTGTGTTTTTGGTTTGTGAAGATGATGGCTCATTTTGACTATCGAGAGTGATGCTGGGAGATGTGTAAGCTCCATTACTCCCATTTGACCACAGAAGCAAAGATGGAGGAGAGAGATTTTGACAATTTGCCTTGAGGAGCACCAATAGATGACACTAGTGCAGTTCTCTCTGATGGGTTGTACTGCAAGTAGCAGCTAATCTGTGCACAGCAAGTTTCCAGGAACAGTGATGTACAAGCAACCCACATCAACAGTTATGAGTGACCAATAATGCATGCAATACTGTCCCACCAACAGAGCGGCGCTCCCTCAGCGCTGACCCTCCGACAGCGCGGCGCTCCCTCAGCGCTGACCCTCCGACAGCGCGGCGCTCCCTCAGCGCTGACCCTCCGACAGCGCGGCGCTCCCCCAGCGCTGACCCTC